TAAGGACTGATTTCTTTATCGAGCCCATTAACAGTGATGGGCTTTAGATGAAGCACTTAGCAGAGATTTTCTGGCTAACATGACATGCTGGGGATCCCACAGTTCCTGGTCCTGGCACACATGTCCTGAAGCACTTCTCTAAGTCACTTTGCCAGCACTTTACTTTGTTTCCCTGTGCACTAAAACAAAAAAATCCTTTCCTATATGTGTGTTGTGAAAATATTCTTCTAATAGGTAAGAGAAATGCCTGGATGATAGAGATGTAAAATTTAAATCATCAAATTGATTCTCTGCTGAACAATCTGACCCACTCTCAGTACAATTTGTGTCTATACCAAACTGCACATGCACCAAATGGATCTCATTTGTATCTGAACTGTCTTGTAAGCAAACAACATTAAGAAGTATTGTACTTGAGAGCAGTTAAAATACTCTGTTAATATTCACTTTTGCTGCATTTGACATAACTTTGTGTCCCACTGTCACAGCTTCCTCTCTGTGCTCAGCCAGGCAACCTGGGCAGGGCAGGGCAGCCAGCAGGGAAGGGGAGCAGGGAAACCTGACATGCAGACAAGTATTTGTCCCCATTCTCTTCTGGATCCCTCAGAGGGTCTGTGGTAGAGATGGGGGTGGTTTGCAGCTTTTCTCCAGTGGGCTGTGGGGCTTCTTGGTGGAGTTCCTTGGTCCCAGCCTCGTGCTGCTCTGCATCTCAGAGCAATTACAGCTTCCTGCTTGCTCCCATCTCTGGGTTGCCCTTGTTTCCTTTGAACAAAACATGCTCCTCTCAAGTGGAGATAGCAGACAGACAGTGTCCCCCACAAAAAACCTGTAAGTAATATTTCTTCATGGACCTCCTCTGGTGTTCACACATTAGCCTGAACTTGACTCTTCTGCTTTGTTGTTTTCCTTTCAGATTGACCAAACATGAGCCATCTGCACCCACAGGGAAACTGTGTTCATTGCTTTTATGTAAAATAATTCTGAACCTCCAGAAGCATTTTGCTAATGAGTAAGCGAGGTTCACAGCACCTAATTGCACAGGGAGGTGATCCAANATCAAGAGGTTGCTCAGAGCATCCTCAGGCTGCTCAGCTCCCACTGGTGCTCGTGGGGCAGCAGGAGGGGAGCCCAGTGCTGCTCGGTGGCTTTGCCAAACCCACTGGGAAAGGGATGGGGGCTCAGCACAGGCTGAAACATTCATCAATGAAACACAGGTGTTGGGAAGATGCTCCTGCCTGCTCTGGCCCTGGGGACATTTTCTGAGGGAAGGGAACATGGGACAGCAGCCTGCAGTACAGATCTTGATGGACTGTTCAGATAGGAAGTTGCTTAAGTTACATTAGGGCTTCTCTTGTATCCTGAGACATGCAAGCTACCTAAGGAATAAGGGCTCTGCCAAAACTGTTTGGGATTTCTCCAATTTTTTTCCCCTTGAGCCTTCACTCCTTTCTCAGGGTTAGTCCAGCATCCCATCTGGGGAAAAGCATCTACCACCCAAGGGGCAAAGCAGATGGTAAAACAAAGACTGTCTTAATCAAAAAGCAAGTACAGGAAGCACATAGGAACATTAGAGATGTGATCCACTAAAACCCACAAATGCAGCAAGAGAGAAGTGGCAGACAAGAGCATTAAACAGCTGGAGAGCTCTGTGCAGACTTCCCTGGGAGCTGTTCACCTCTGGCAAACTCCTCTGACCAACAGACAAGAGCAGAGCTTACCATTGAGAAAATCAGCTGCAACAGGATCTGTCATGAGCACATGTGGAGAAAGCAGCTTGTATACCTCGCTCTGCTCCCCCTCAGGCAGAAAGTTCAATATATTTTGGTCCACCAAATCTGACTGATACAAAAGAATGCTTTGTCATGTTCAGCAGTACAGCCTGACACAACCACATGCCTTTTCACCCTCAGCAGAGCACAGACACTGCTGGTCTGGTGCAGATGCCCAAGACAAGGAAGCCCAGTCAATCTGCAGATGGATCTGGGGCAGAATGTAACCCTTAGACTATTTTACCCCAGGATTACTGTCTATTTGCAAAAGGTTAAATAAGTCCCAGAGGTTTCCCTTCAGTTTAGAGTGGTACAGGCTGGAGAAGAAACCCAGGTACCACAGGAATATAACATGATGAGAAGTGAAACATTTTTCTTTGAAAGCAGGACACAGAAGGAGAGCTCCTCCCTACATCCTCCATTTGTCTTCTAGGCTGAACATCTGGCAAAATCAGCTTGACCTGCAAGTGATTCAGTGCTCATCAACCCACACATCCTGATTGAAGGGTTTCTACCAAAATGTCAGCACAGATTTGTTCTTTGCACACATGACATTCAGGTAACTGTGTGCTTGAATTTTCCCTCATTTAGGACATCCTTGGTACTTCATGCTTGGCACCAGAAAAAGAGAAAAATTTTTTGAGGGGCCAAGCTGAAATTTCTGCACCTGACAACTAATTAGTTTCTAGAAGTTCTCCCAGAAAACTCTGAGGCCACACATTTGTTACTGAAGACTATGGGCTCAAAGTAGAAAAACCCAATGTCATCAAAGAGCATAAATTCAGTTCTGAAATAATATTTACATTATCTAAGAGGAGCTCCAGCACTCATTTCACAATCATAAGATTTTCCATTAACCTGGAGGGTCAAACACCTCCCAGACCTTTAGATGGACAGCCAAGTGATGAGCTATGAGCACAGAGATTTTGCATAGTTGGGCTTTTTTTAAGCTAATTCACAGACCCTGGGAGAGAATCTCTTATTCACAGGAACTTGAGAAACTCCACAGGAGTTTGTTGGTTGACCTCCCACCCACAGTCAATTCCCTCTTTGGTAGGACAAAACCTGCACTGACTGATTTGCACTGAGGAGGGGGATGGGCCTCAGGGTATTGCATGGTCAGAACTTACCGGTAAGTGTCCCAGCAGAGATGAAACACTGTCAGACACATAAATAATAATCCCATCAGTGGTAAGAGCAATGAGAAAGCCATCCAGTGCCTAATGATAATAGACAGAAAAAAAAAAACAAGAAAAAAAAAAACAAAACAGAATTATACAATTGAAAAACTTAAAATATTTTAGATTTGTTGATTCTTTAGTGATGCTTCTAGCAGCTTAAACCTAGCAGAAATTAATCAAAGAAATGACAGTTCAATGTGGAAAAATAAAAATTACACATGCCATCTAATTCAACATTCTTTTTATATTCTTATTTTCTCATTCTCATTATTATTAAATTGACTTGTATTTTTCACCCAGTGAGTATTTTTTTAACATGAAGTGAGACAGTGATGCTTAGAATTTCAACACCCACACAATCCTGCTGACTTCAGTCACTTCATTATGTGTTCTGAATTACACAATAGTTAACAAACTCAGTGCGTAAGGAGATGTCAGATATCATCATGGTAAATCCAGCTTTGTGGATGGATAAGCAGAGACAGAAAAACTATACAATTATGTATTTTTAGCAGTTTATGGACAATATGAAAAGCCTTATTTAGTTTGCTTAAAGCCCTGATTTTTAAGGTTAGTGACAAAACAATTTTTAGGCTTGTTCTGTTTCCCCTTTCTCATTCACAGTGGTTTCTGTCCCAAAGTTAAACCTCTCTGTCCCTTTTAAGTCACTGCCTGTGCTCTTCCCCTTGGATGTTGTGTTCTCCCTATTCTTCACAGTATCTCCTTGTACCATTTATGCAGTGTCTGTCCTTATTCTTCCCTAACATCAAGATCTGGGAGGTTTAATAGCTGGTCAGCACTGTGCACAAAGCCAGCTCTTCTAAAGACACTGTTAGGCTGCTCTGCAGCTCAGCTACAGGGACCAAGGATGCAGCATTCCCCATCCCCTCACCTCACTGCCACACTCTGCCTTTGCTCAAATTGGGTCCTCTCTGGGAAAATCCCACTGATTTTAAGCAAACTGTTCACTGGTCTGCCAGAGTCCAGCCAGCCAGCAGTTATTAGAGGGGTGGCTCTCCCCTATCACTTCCAGCCTAAGGGGGGAATTTGTTTGGATTCAGCTGGAACAAGTCGGCTTGTTTGGCAAGAGAGATTCCCAGAAAGAATGAACAGACTTTTCCAGAGAGGTGAGTCATGACATCCTGATGAAAAGGAGTAGCTGAGACACAGCAGCACCTCCCAGCTCAGCCCAGCATCCACCCTGCTTTTGGTGGGGCAAAGAGCAGTGCTGCCCACGCAGGGCAGGAGGTGTCCCTGCCACAGGAGCCTGCAGCACAGAGCCAGGGCAGAAATGTGGGTTTGGGGGATGTTTCTAGATCAGCACAGCATTTCAGAGGTGGGAGTGTAAGAGCTGTTTTCCTGAATGCACTTGAAGGCAATTCGAGCAGAAGAGGCAGCACTCCCAGAGAGAGGACAGCAGCTGCAGAGGCAGCACAGGCAGTGCTGCTGCCTAATGGCATGTGGGAGGAACAGAGCTGCTCTGCTTCTTTCAGGCCCTTTCAAGTTTTTCCTAAAACTGCCAGCTCTAGTGGCTCTTCTGAGAAAAGGAAATTCTCTTTTCCCTCTCTCACCAGGCCAAATCAGCCTTGATTCCCAAACCAAAAGCCATTTATCTTTAAGGGGAAGCAATCTTATTTTTAATTCTGTGTCTGCAAAGCATTTAGTACAACATTGGCCTCTGTCAGGTTTGCATTGTGTGTGCCAGCAGAGTAGAAATCATAAACATTGGGACCCCCAGGTGAAAAAGAACTGTATATCCCTGATCTACTCCACTGAACTGATTATTTCTCACTAATCTATTTAATTTCTTCTTACCTCTAACATCAACTGGGTGAACTCCTCGTTGCTAAGAAATGAAGGCTTCCAGTCTTGTCTAATCTGACAGGCTTCTGTCTGTGCTGTGATTTCTTAAAGAGAAAATATCAAAAAAGCAACATGACTCATGCTACTTGGATTTTTTTTTCGTTTTCAAGTAAGATTTCTTTAAAGAAGCTGTTGGAGGAATAATCCTTATATCATTCTTCACACAAAGCCTTCTTGCATGCAACAGTCATTTTTCATGCAATCATAATACAAATGCATTAGAAATCAAGAAAGGGAAATGGAGACATTTTAGGTGGCCTGAAGATAACCTTAAAAATTAAGATCAATGGGCTATTTTTAGAGTAGTAGAGCATTCCTATGAGCAAAGGTATCTGCAATTCTGGAGCTGTGCCCTTTAACTCTGGAGCTGTTTCACAAGCTGCTGTTGTGAGTGCCCAGGCAGCAGGACAGGCTTATCATCTCCTAATCCAAGAGACCTGGGAAGATGGCATAGAATATTCTTTCCCCTGACTTTGTCATGGGTGCTGTTCCTCAGCTTTTCTGTTTGAGAGAGCACAAAGCAGGCCAGGGGATGTGGAGGCCAGTGAGGGTAATGATGTAGCCACAGTAAAAGGCACACAGCACTGCATCTTTTCAAATCTGCGTTTAACTGGTCAGCAATGTATTCAGCCCTAGCCACCTCCTGAGGCCAACTGTCCTTTATTCTGCCCCTCACCCAGGCTCCTGTCCTCTCTGGGTGGCACCTGAGATGCTTGGGATCTGCATTTTCTGGCAGCTGCAGGGCAGCACCCCCAGTACCTTTCTGTTTCTGTAGGAAGTCGATGGTCCTCTGCAGGATTGTGGACTTGTCCATCTTGAGAGGGTGGCCATGGCCCTGCAGCATGGTGCAAAGCTCCTTAATGAGGACATTGAACTGGTCTCTCCTCTTCTTCTCAGATTTGTTGCGTGATGCCCTGGGGACAAAAGCACAAATGCCACTCAGCAGAATGAAGGAGCTACAGCACAAACCAGGGTGAGGTATCTATCCTGCCCCACAAAAACACTTCAAATAAAGAATCTAAACTCTGCTGGGAATGTTTATTTGTTTAAAATTGGGCTTGCACACAAAGATTTTGCTGGTAGCAAGACTGAACTCACCAGCAGCAAGGAACATCTGGAGGTAACACATATTTGGGCTCATTTGGGAAAGATCATATCCTGATATACATTTCATACATTCCATTTCCCACTGTTTCAAAAGCAGTGATAGTGAAGGTGTTATGAGACAAATTCCTCCAGTAAGAGAAAAGTGTGTTCATGCACATTCATGTTTTGCTCACTTAATTTTTATGAACTTTTGTTTTGCAGTTAGTACACAAACATATAAACGTCAAAATGTGAAGGATTTCTCTGATTTGCACTTACAAAAGGAGCTTATCAAGGACAGCACTGTGCAAGGCAACTGAACTGCAGAATAAAATCTTGTATGTGGTCTTGCTGTGATGTATGAAACTGGGAATGTTACAGGTCTGGCTGCAGAATTACAACTAGTTTCAGTTCACAAATCAAGAATATTTATTAGGCTTTCCCCCTCCATTAAAAACAGTAGAGGAGAAAGCAAACCCCTTTAGTTCCTTCCAAAGTTTTCTTTCCAGTGCTCATATCTGAGATAACATTTTCATACAACCTCTTCCAGTAGTAATTAATTTGCTTTACAAGTATATTCACGATGATGCATACTTGCTGTGATCCAGACTGAGGGTGGTATGCAGAAAGCATTTCCATTCATACTCAGGTTGGCATTTGGATGTTCTCAGATCCAGCATTCACAGCCATCTCTGTTTTGGCACTAGTGTGCAATGACTGAACAGAATTGAGCCAAGAGCTTCTCTGACAGAGATTAACTCAGGCCTGGGCTAAAGCAGGACTGCAAAGGGAGCTCTACCCCAGGTGGGCAGCACTGCTTGGTGCCAATAAAATCACAGGTCAGGAATCCTGCTTCAAGATAATAAATAGCCATGGGATAGCATGAGATCCTGAGGGCACAGAAGTGGAATTTAAGGCCCACTCAGGCAGATAACCCATTGTAGGGGTGGCCAAACTCTGTAAGAAGCCTGAACTTAAATTGTGCTGCTTGTGGTCAGCTATACACAGCCTGTAAACTGTGTGGGAGCTTTGCCTCTGACATCAGTGGGGTCAAGTTCATTGTCAAGCACTGGACAACACAGCATTTACAGTTCTCCCCCAGGAGTGCATGCTGTCATACCTCTTTGCCCTGTCCTTCTCATCTTCATCCATCAGTTCGTTTACACAACACAGGGCTCTGCAAGGGAAAGACAGAAGCAGTTACTGAGACACACTCCCTATCTTGCTCAGAATGTCAAAACATGGAGTGTAGTGGTTTGTACTTAAAGATGTACTTCCTGGATGTTTCAGTCTTCCCTTTCCCAAATTCTACTCTTAGTTTGTCTTTCCTTGCGTGTTCAGTCAGCTACTGAGGCATGAGAAGTGGGACTGCTGCTACATGCCCAAACTTCCACCTACAAGGACTTTAAAGGGAAAGATTAAAAGCTAGCAGCCCCTCAGCCTGCCTTTGTCCTGCCCTCTGAGGACAGGGAATCCTGCTGAAGCACCCATTTCTGCACAGGAATCAGCATCTTCCTGCCAAATGCAAGAGCCAAAAAGAGAGAAATCTGCCCTGGTGTCTGCAGCAGGCAGCATCACAGCTGGTCCTGTTCTGGGAAATCACAGAGGTTACTGCTTGATTTCAGTCACTGCCTGCCCTGCTTGAAACATATCTGAGATTTCCAGTGGAAAGACAGAGGAGAGAGGAACTGTGCTAATCCCCTAAAGGACTGGCATTAGGCAACAGAGGCAGCATGTTATCAGGATATCTAAGAGATGATGTGATAGACAGGTCCATCCAGAGCATCCTGCAGCCAGTGACTGCTGCTTGCCCTGCTGGACTGCTCCCACATCATCTGAGCTGTGTCCTGGGACTCATACCCAAGGCTTCAATTTAAATATCCTCACCTGGCACTAACCAGGGAAGGAGAAAAGTGGCAACAACTCCCAGTAAGGACACAGTACTCTAAAGCTCCATTAAATGATGGAAAATTCAAGTCAAAGGTAACTTCTTCACTGGTGACTTTGTGACTCAGATGGGCTGAGGGACAGGAGCCAGGGAGGTGCAGGTGAGACAGCTGCTGTCACTCCACACCACATTGCCCAGTTCAGCTCTGCTGGATTGCCCTTCAGACATCTCCAAAGAGGAAATCACACCCATCCCCACCCTCAGAACCAATCTGCCCCCCATCTCCACTGAGCACTTGCCCTGCAAAACATCCCATGCTGCCCAGAACTCTAGGGGCATTTTTCAATAGGTACACCCAAAAGATTTTCTCTGTTTAGAGACTACTCCAAACTCAAACATGTTGGTAGCTATAAAAGTAACACAAACCAGAACCACCCACAACTGACAGGAAGTCAAGGATGCTGCTCACAGCAACAGCCACAAAATTTTATCCTTCCTTCCCTGCTCCAGGGCAAGGATCTCCCTCCCAGCAGATGACCTGGGCAGGAGATACTGTATGAATTCTTTTGTTATGAATGCACTCCAAAGAGAGGGAGTGGTTCTCATTGTCTGAGTCACCAAAAGCTACAAGCCAAATTAGAAATTACCTGTTCTATTCCTCAGATTCATCAGTCCAGACTGACAGAGTGGGATTAGCACTTCTTATCACCATGTAAATAGAGACGGAGAAAAATTAATCCTGCAAGGAAAAGCAAGTCCAGTTAAAACACAGTTGCAGGTAAGACAGTCTGGATAGCTGCAATCACTTCAAGCTGAGAAAAATCTGCCACCACAAATTAGAACCATGCTCAAGTATGACTAATGAAAGCTCAGCAGAGCAATTGGAGTTGGACCAAGTTCAACCAAGCTCCTGGCTCTGTGTGCACCACCTACTGCCACAGAAGCAGCCTGGGAAGGCCAATGTGAGCTCTCGTGCCCAAAAAGCTGTGTGACCCAGCAGGAGGGAGAATGGCCCCACTGGCCAGGAGCCACCGAGAAGCAGCTGGAGCTCTTCCAAATATGACAGTTTACCTGGTGTGCTGTGAAAACCAGAAGTATGACCTGTACCTCATCCATCAAATCCTGCAACCAAAACCTCCTTCAAGACAAACATCATCAGCAAAGTCAGCACAAGTCACAAGCACCCAGCTGTGAATGGACTCAAGGCTTCCTAATACTTGCTACTGATGGGACACACAAATCTAGGGAAAATAACATGTAACTCCTGACACCCCAGTGATGCTGTAACTGGAAACAACACCTGCACAGCAAACTTAAACTCAGTGGATCTGCTGTGTCTCTGCTCTCACAGCAGTGCTACCCCACTCATGCTTTATTCCAGTTCAAAAGGAGTGTGTGATTTTATTTGTTACCCTATTGAGCTGAGGCTCTTATCCCCACTGCTCATCCCCTCAGTGCTGTTCTGTCAAAATCGCTCAGTTGTTTCTTCTATAGAAGAATGCCCCCTACAGAAGATTTGGTGACTGGGGATAAGTTCAGAGATGCACAGGTATAAAGAAAAGGCTTTTTAAAGCAATGGCTTAAATTATGAAAAAATTCTTGTGGATATACAGAAAGTTCTATAAAATTTATCAGGGAAAAATTGTTCTTTGTGTCAGACTTGACCATGCAAAAATTCAGCTAAAGAAAAGGATTTTTCCCAAGCTCGGAGTGCAAAGAATTATTTTATAGAAACTTTGCCCACAGGTTGTCTAACAACTGAAAGCTCCCAGGAAGCCTGATGGGTTTCCTGCCTCATTAGAATGATTGGCCTCCCTCCCACCCAGCCAGAACAGAAGAAGTCTGTTGAGGAGTCAGACTTCTCTGACTTCTGGGACTGAACAACTGTTGAGAAGCTGAGGGAAGTCCTGGTCACCAAGACTGCCAATAGCCCAGCTGATGCTCACTGAGCCCAAACTGGAAAATGAAGCCCAAACTGGGCTCCCCAGTGCCCAGGAGGAGCTGTCACTGCTGCAGGGCAGCAGATCTGGGCTGCCAGAGGAGTGAGGCTCTCTAATGAAAGTGAGCAATGCCCTCAGCCAGCAGCAGACCTGGAGGAGCTCACAGAATAAACGCCCATAAAAGAATTCACAGGCCCAACCACCCAGAGCAGCTTTCTGCATGATGCAGCAGGACAGTGAGCAAGAAAAAGTCTTAGCAGAAAACACCTAAGGACAAAATAATCTTAACTGGATTAAGCACTTCAGGACTGCATTTAGCTAAGTGCTTTTTGTCTTGTTATAAGACAGAGCTAAATATAGTAACCAGAATACTTAAGAATAGTTTCATAAGGGTTGTATACATTGCTCAGCCAGCTAAGACACTTAGCACCACTGACAGCAGTATGTCTGCAGGTTAAGAGTATTTTAAATAGATCCAGATAGAATCTCTTTGACCTTAACTGCATTAACCAGAGGGATCAAAATTTATTTATTGCCTCCTGAAAATCCCCTTCTGTAACACTTGGAGAGAGGGATTCCTGAACTCTGTGGGCAGGTAAAGAGGAAACTTGTCAGTGCTGCTGGCATCGTTTCTCACCCCACCTACAACAGGTGAGGATCAGCTTTCTCACAAAGCAATGCACATCCATCACTGCTTAATGCCCTCTGTAAAGGGAAATTATTTTTTCCTTCCTTTGTACAGGGAGTCTCAAAAACCACTCAAAGCATTTTAAGAATACATTAAACTTCAGACTTTTCAAGCATCACAGTATTTGAAGTTGTTTCCAGGGTTACAGAAAGGGTAATGTAGTCAAATGACAGCCTCAACAAGACAAATGGACTTTGCAGTCAACAACTAATAGTTAAAGTATTATTCCAAGCTATCTGCTATATTCTGGCACATTTTTTACTGAAGGGAGAACAGCAGAAGGAATTTTCTGTTTCACAGAACTATCTGACTCCAGGAGCTATCTAAAACTGCAAACCTGTGAGTAAAGAAAATGTTTATTTATTGACTTGCTGCAAACCATCAAAATATTAACATTACCTTAGGATAATTCTTAATGGAACAGTCAGACTTGTGTCCTGAAACCAGCAATTCCTATGAATGTTTCATTATAGGTTAAATTTTAGTTATTTGGTTATGACACTCATGGCAGGGCAAAGATATTTCTGTGAGAGATGCTGCCCATTTCTTTGTGATCAGCAATGAATAAAGCTTTCATCCATCACCTAAAAGTGTCCCTGAACCAGGATGATTTGATTGCTTTTCCCAGCTACAACAACTGGTCTAATGAAAAACATTCTCTATGCATAGAAGCTTTGTTCTGCTTGTATTTGAGTTTTCATAGAATTTTGCATTAAAGTAACATACAGCAGTTAGAGAGTCTTCAAACCTATACCATAGGAAACACTTTAATTATGGAAATGTGCTGTGCTAATAATTTTCACAGACTTTGCATGCAATGAATTCACCAGAGAGCCCCCAATTACAAGATGCAGCACTTTGTGGCATGATGCAGTCACAAATAAGAGAGATAACACATTCTCCAGCAATATGATTTACATGTCAGTATGCCAATGTTCCATTATTCTTGAGGCAACAGGAGGGCACAACTCCCTGGCAGCAAAACAGCTGATTTCATCTTTAAAAGGCAGAATTTAACCTCTTCAGTAAAGTGCTGGTTCATAGTTGATGTTTATGTAGATAAACAGTGTGGCTGAGTCCCTGTGGCTGTTTAGCACAGGAAGGATCAGCAGCTCTGCCGAAGCCCTGGCCCTGCTGTGCCACCCACCCCATGCTCCATGCTCTGTCACACAGGGACAGATGTTTGCCCCAGTGTCACAGTGACTGGGTGACAGCAGCTCAGCTCAGCTGGGCCATCCCCATCTGCCAGAGCGCCCCACGGGCACGGCCTCACCTCTGCTGTGCCCCAGCCCAGCATGGAGGCATCACACAGAAACACAGACACCAAACCAGGTGTGCCAAAGGAGTTGCATATCTGTGTTATTTGATCTGCTTGCTTAAGTTTTTCTGCCTCCACTTCACCCTCTCCTTTCCTTGCCATGCCTTGCCTCCTGCTGTTCTTCACTCTTTTCTGCCCTTCCCTCCCTTATCCCCTGTGCTTGACATCCATAGGACCACAATTCAGAGAACTGGATCTCCTTTGAATATGGTTTCTCTCCATCTTGCTGTTTCTTATACCACCTGCCTTCATCTTTCCATTAATTTTCTCCTCCACGTTCCTCACTTTCTTCTTCTCAAAAGAGAGAAAATGCACAATGATGTCAGTTTTGACAATCACCCAGCCATTCCACTGTGGGAACTTGGCTTCCCAGGTCTGAGCCCCCCACGCCTGACAGGTTCTCTTTAGGGACACACTGCCTGAGGAATCAAGCTGGGGATCTGATGGGGTTTGGCTCCAATGTCCAGCTCCAGGAGCTCTGGGTCCTGTCCTGTCTCACAGCTCCCTGTCCCAGAGCTGTGCAGCTCCAAGCTTGGCACAAACACCACCCTGCATGCCCACTGAGTGCCCCAGCACAGCCCAGCCCTCCTCAGCAGCAGCAGCACACCCTGAAGCTCTCTGGGGCTGCTGTGCCTGCACCTGAACCCTCACAGCAGCTTTGTTTGCCACAACGTGGGTGATGCTGCTCAGTGGGAACCAAATGTTCTGTGCTTCCCCCTTGTCACCTGCCACAAGTGGACTTTTTGTGCTACTACTGTGACTTTTGCATCCCAATGCTCTTATCTACAGCACACTCTCCTCAGGTTTATTGAGCTCTAAATTTAGCTGGTTACCTGTGACAGATTTACGACAACATTCATTACAGCAGGAACAGCTTCAGACAGAAGCTAAAAAGTGTCCAAAGAAAATGGATTATACAAAACAATTACACCATAAAAAAGGCTGTAATGGAACACTGTGATTCAGCACAGAAGTGACTTGAAAGATACAGGCAGGAACAATGGTGGTATCTTGGTTTTCTTTCTTTTTTTTGGTTTTTTTTTTTTTTTGGTTTGGTTGGGTTTTTTTCTGTTTTTTTGGTTTGTTTTTTTTTTTTTTTGTTTGGTTGGGTTTTTTTTTTTTTTTTTGGTTTGGTTGGGTTTTTTTCTGTTTTTTTGGTTTGGTTTTGTTTTCAACCAATACACGCTGCTTCTGCAAAATGAAAGGCGGAAAAGGATTAAAAACGAGCAGATACTTGAAAAGAAAAGATGACTACTGGAACATTTTGTTCTCTAGGATTTTTGTCAAATCCTGGAGAAAATAGCTGTCCAAGTTTGCTGTGTTCTAGCAAATTGCTGAACCTTGCAGGGTAAAGATACAACATTGTAGAATATTATTCAAAATGTCTCTGGGGTTTCTGTAACAAGAAGAACATGCATCTAATTAATTCTACCAATTTGTGTAATGGCCCCTTAAAATTCCCAAAACATGGCAAAAAGCAGAATGCTGATTCACAACCCTAGGAAATACAAAACTGTACTTTTAGCACAAGCAAAACAACATTTCTTCTGCAGTCTTGGGTGCTTACCTGTGTTCATTTGTTGCTATTCAGTTACTACAGGAAAGGTAAATAAATGTGTGTTGTGATATGAAATGATGATATCCAACCTATAAACAATTCTTTACCATACCTGACTCAGACAAAGAGCCAAATAATCCTCAAATAATAACATGACTCTCCCTCATGTAGGATGAGAGCAAAGGTAGTTGTTCACAGTCAATCCTTCAGCAGCAGCTGAGATTGTGTATTTTCA